TCAGCACCTACCTCCTTGATTTAGCTCCTTGAACTTATCTCGCTTGGGGTCTCCATCCTGGTAACAGCCCAGCGGTTCTGTGGCTCTGGCCTCACCTCTGCGTTTGCCCACCTCCACCAGGTGAACGGTCTCCAAGTGGATGTCCCAGCTGAGGTGTTCACATCTGTGTCTGTGAGTCAGACACGCGACGGCTCCATGCTAGTCCAACAGAAGAAAGGGGTCCAGGTGTGGCTTAGAACCAGCGGGAAGCTGGATGTGATGGTCAGCGATGACCATGCCGGGATGCTGTGCGGGGCCTGCGGAAACTTCGACGGGGACCAGACCAACGATGGGGATGACTCCCAAGGGAAGACAGGGCTGGACAGATGGCGAGCACGGGACTTCTCCCCATGGTGAGAGATGGAGTATGGAAACCAGGCTTCTTGGGGAAGGGGCCCCTGGGTCCTCATGAGATGGGGGCAGTCAGGGTGGGCGCTCAGTCTTCAAGAGGAGGTGCCAAGTTTCTGTCTCTTGCAGTTACAACTGATCAGTCACCCGCCGGGAACGAAGACTTCAGGACCTGATCCCCCAGAGGCTGCGATATTTGAGAGGGGTAGAGCAGGGTAGGGGCACACCCTACCTGAGCTACTGAGGCCAAACGTGAGAGCATTGAATAAATACCTTCAGCTAAGCTGCATGCCGTTGTGTCTGTCTCATGCCTTCTCATCCCTGACTTTCCTCTCTGCACAGCAAGCGTCAGATGCTGGCGAATGTGGCACATGATGAACGTTCATTGGGGGGTGAGAGGACGGATGATGTTTGCATGAATGGATGAAGAGACGGATGGGCGGATTGGGAAAAGGGTGGGTGGGGAAATAAGGAGATGATAAAATGGGTGATTAGAAGAGCAGAGGGATGAGAAGATAAATGATTGGATGGAGGGAAGGAGTGGAAATGGAGAGATCGATCAATAGTTCTGGCTTTATCATTTATAACCCTAGCAAGTTAATGTCTCTCTGGCTCAGTTTGCTCATCTTTAAAGTAGAATTAATGGCAGTACTTATAAAATGGAGGGAGGAGTTAATGCGTTAATCCAATCGAGTGAAAACTGAAGTCTTGGTTGCCTTCTAAACCCGTTCCCTGCCCCTCCCGTGCTGGTCCTCGCACCTCCCTAAATAGCACTGCCAGCAAGTTTAGCAGCCAGACAATGGGGGATTATTCATGATTCCTTCCTCCTCTTCGTCCTCCACTCAGTTCATCAACAAATCATGTTGAATTGTTTCAAAATATACCCGAAATTCGCCTTTCTTTCTTATCACACCCACTGCAACCACCTGGTAGAAGCTGTCATCCTCATGCATGTTGACAACACAATATCCTACGATCCGTTTTCCCCTCTTGTAATCCATTCTCATGGGCTCTAGAAGAATCTTCCTTAAGATTATAAACAGGATCATTAGCTATACATTTTTCTTATAATCAAATCAAATTCCTTCCCCTTGTCCTATAAGGCCCCTGCCAACCTCCTCTGATTCATTTCGTGTCACTGTCCTCCTTGCCAATTGTGATTTGGGAGCCTGATCTTTCAATTTACTGAACACACCAAATTTTTCTGGTCCGCCCGCTCATTACATGACTGGCTTCTTCTTATTCCTCAATGTCAACTTAAATGTCAACTACATTAAGCCTTTTATGACCACTCCACCTAAAGTGAGTCCCCTTCTCTTGTTAACTTCATTCCTATCATCTATCCCATAGTACAATTATTTTCATTTGACTTTCTGTCCAATTAGAAGTAACTCAATGGCAGAGACTGTATGTGTTTCACTTGCCACTTTATTCCTAGCAGCTGGCACACTATATGGCACATAGTAGGTGCTCGGCACATATCTGCTGAATAAATAAATGGCCAAAAACAAACTCGGAGGAAAGATTTGCAACAAACCTGACAAAAGATTAATATCTACAATATGTAAAGAGCTCCTTCAAATCAATAAGAAAAAGACAACGATCCAATTAGGAAAAAAAATGGGTTGAGGATATAAACGGGCAATTGATAGAAAAAGAAATCTAAACATGTTGAATGTATACAATATATCAGGTTCTTCACGTGCAGTATTTCTGAGCTTCATAATAGCTCTGTGAAATGGGTATAAACATAAAGAAATAGGTTCAGTGAGGTTAAATAACTTGCTCAAGGGCAGTTTGTATATGATGGAGCCTAGATTTGAATCTGGGTGTGTCTTTCACCAAAGCCAGTGTTTTCCATTGAATTTTGCTGTTGAGTCTCACCTAGGATCAATTTCCCATCAAGAAAAAGAATTAAGAGGTCCTACAAATAAAGAAGAAAAGCAACAATTTAATAGAAAAATAGGCAAAAGAACAGAATAGTTCACAGAAAAGGAAATACAAATGGCCCCAAAAGATAAGGGAATGTTCAATTCTGCCCATATAAAGAGAAATGCAAATGAAACTACCCTGAGATATTACTACTCACTTATCAAATGTGCCTATTCTGTAACTTTGCCCAGTTACAAAAACTTAACAATATAATTTGTTGACAAGGCTATGAGGAAGAGAACACTCTCATATGTTACCAGTGGGAATGCAGAACATATAAGTGCAATGCAGAGAAATTTGGCAGTGTCTGGCAAAATTACGAATGCATTCATCTTTTTACCCAGCAATCTCACGACCAGGAATCTAACCTAAACACCCATTGGCAATGAAGGATATAAGCCCAAGGCTGTTCACTGTGCTCTCTTTGTGACGAAAAAAGACTAGAAACAACTCGGTTGTCCATTAGTAGGGGACTGGTTGAATAAGTGACATGTTATCCACACAATGGGCTACTATGTAGATAAATGAAAAATAAGAAAGATCTCTATAAACTGTTGGGAGTGATCTCCAGGAAATATTGCGAAGTGAAGAAAGCCAAGGTTAGAAGAGTGTACACAAAAAAACACACCCAAGAGAGGGGCACAAGGGAGCCTTGGGGACACTGGTAATATTCTATTTATGGACCTGGGGGTGGTTATGTGGCTTGTTCCTTTTGTGGTAAGTCATAAAACTATACAGTTACATGCACTTTTCTGTTCTCATGTTGTACTTCCAAAAAAAAAGGATTTTGAATAAATAAATTATAATCTCCGAAGATTCTCGGCCAAAAAATAAAAAATGTATATGTGCATGTGTGTGTGAGAGAGAGAGAGAGAGAGAGAAAGAAATGATGGGATCTTATTTGGATTCTGATTTGAACAAGCAGCGATTTTTACAGTCACATTTTTTTTTT